AAAAAGATACTTTGGGGCCAGGGAGATGGCTCAGTAGGATAAGCGCTTGACTGGCAAACACAAGGATCTGAGTTCAATCCCCGGTTCCACCAAAAAAAAAAAGATACTTTGCATAAATATGTACTTGGTTGGCTATATTATGTGCCTGTATATACTTGCATATACATATATGGTGGTATATATATTTTCATTTGGTATAAGTCATAGTAGAATTTGATGTGTTTGATTTTTGGCTGAAGAAACTTTCCAAGGCTGTTTTCCTTTTTTAAACATTTTCCCATTTTTTTTCTTCAGAGTAAGATTTTAAACAATATTCACCAATATATTTTTTTAAACAGGTATCGATTAAGGAACAAAAAGATCAATGCAACTGTAAGAACGTTTCCTCTTCTAAATAAAGTTGGTGTAAACAGCACTGTCACAACCACAGCCGGAAATGTCATTTCTGTCATAGGAAGTACTGAAACAACGGGGAAAATTGTTCCAAGTACAAATGGAATTTCAAATTCAGAAAACAGTGTTACCCAGCTAATTCCACGTAGTACTGACAGTACATTAAGAGCTCTGGAGACTGTGAAGAAAGTGGGGAAAGTTGGCACTAATGGTCAGAATGCTGCTGGGCCCTCTGCAGAGTCTGTAACTGAAAAGTAGGTATTAAGTAAAAATGATTAATATCGTTCATTTCCTCCTTGGAAGTGCCTTAGTATTTTTTTTTTTAATACTGGAAAAAGCCCTTTAATTTTTATGCAGAATATTTCATGTACTAGGAAAAGTACTACATACCAAAAATGTTGAGTTCTCCACCTGGATTTGCAACTGAATAGCTCTGCAAAATTCAAATGTCATTTCAACTCTTGAGTTTTGTTTTCCTCTATACTATAGTGGTTGGACCAGAATTGAGTTTTTCATACCTTATTTTCTTGAACTTCAGGATTAGTTCCCTAGAGGTGTCATAATTAAATTAAGTAGAACCCTAAGCAAGTGAAAGACTGAACCTCTAGCCATATTTCAATCTGAACACTTTGGCTGCATACTCTATAATGATATGTAGTTAAGAGGGGAGCTGGGCATGGTGGTACATGCCTGTTATCCCAGCACTGGGGAGGCTGAAGCAGGAGGATTATTGCCAATTTGAGACCAGCTTGGACTACAGAGTGAGCTCAAGGCCAGCTGGAGCTGCAAAGGAAGACCCTGTCTCAAAAAGAACAAAGAAAACAGGTGGTGGGATACCTTTGGAACCAAACTTTGGACTTCAATTATGGCTCACTTTTTCCTAGGTCCTTTGGCTATAAGCCAGCTATTTAATCTGTTTTCCTCATTCATAAAATATCTTCATGAGCCAACATGAAATGGTAGAGTGCTTTTGTATGTGTGAGGGTCTAGATCCCCTCTCCAGCCCCATTTAAAAAAAAAACAAAAAACCTACTTCATGTATTGATTGTGAGAATTAAATGAATTAACATTATCTTGTATTTTGAGTAGTGCCTACCAATTAGCCCTCAAGTATCTTCCCTTTGCTTTATTATTTCTGCCATTGTTACTGTTTGTTATCAGCACAAGATTTCATTTGATAAAGGATTTTGTTCCATTAAGAAAGTTTTACTAGGGGGCCGGGGAGATGGCTCAGTGGAATAAGTTCAATCTCTGGTTCCGCAAAAAAAAAAAAAGAAAGTTTTACTAGGTAAAACTTTAGTTGTGCAATGTGTTAATTATTGAATCCTACCAATTTAATTTGAAACTGTCTCATTGCTATTTGTTTCTCAATAAAATTATGGGGAATAAAAAAA